CGGCCTGCGCCTGGCGCCGAGCCTGGGCGAGGCGCTCCGCCGCCGTCGGCGGGTGGGCTGCCCCCGCTGCCTGCTCCGCAGCGGGCCCCAGCGTCCTGGCCTCGGCGTGCTCCGCGTCGGGCAGCGTCTGCTGAGGTGCGGCCTGCGCCCTCGGGGCCTCGGCCGCGGCTTGCCGCTCCTGCTGGTTGAGGCGCGTGCGCAGCCGCAGGAGGCGCCCCGCGTCGGCCGTGGCCTGTGCCCTCCGGCGCGCCTGCAGCTGGCCTTCACCAGGCGAAGGCCAGCTTCGCTGTCCTCCGCCAGCGCCGCCAGTCGCTCGGCCTCGGTTTCCCCCCGCCCTGCCTCCAGCAGCGTCTCGTCGGACGCCTTGTGGGAGCGCTCCTCCTGGCGCTCGGCCTCTCTGCGCCGCAGCCGCGCCTGGTCCAGGCTCGCGGCCGCGGTCTCGGCCAGGGCCTTCTCGCTAGGTGAGGCCGTGCTGGCTCGCGCGGGGGTGGGCTCGGCCTCCGCCTGGCGCCTGCCGCCGCGGAGGACCAGCGCCAGAGCTGCCCCCAGCAGGGTGGGCTGGCAGCCTTTGTGGCCGTCGAGCTCCGCGAAGGCCGCCAGCAGCCTCTGCGCGGTGCGGCCCTCTGCGCGGCGCTGCTGCGCGCGGCGCGCGGCGGCCGTCCGGTTCGGCCGGCACCCGGGCCGAGCAGCGCCGAGGTCTATCGCGCGCGGAAGGGGGGGCACCCGAGTTGGCGAGTAGGGGACAGGCGAGCAGCGGCGGGCGGCGCGGGAGCGCCGTGGCGCTGGCTCGGGGGCCCAGGGTCGGGCCGAGCGAGCGCTGGGAGGGGGAGGAGGAGGAGGAGGAGGAGGAGGAGGAGGAGGAGGAGGAGGCGGAGGAGGAGGAGGCGGAGGAGGAGGAGGAGGAGGAGGAGGAGGAGGAGGAGGAGCAGGAGGACCAGTCCGGCCGGTCCCTGGGCTCGAGGGCTGAGAGAAATGGAGGGGGGACGATGTGGGGAGAGGGTGGGTATATGTGGGGGCGCAGTGGGAAAGGGGGGCGAGCGAGAGGAAGGGGGCAGGAATGCTCTTCCTTTTGGCCGGCGAAGGGTCTCATGTTCTTGATGGATGTTTTTCTTGGGCCTGGGTCCGACTGTGCATCCCAGCATGCACCATCGACCAGACACATAGGTAGGGCACGGTGCAGGCCTGCTTGCCTAGACCCTGCCTGCGAATAGATCCAGACCGTCTCTGCATCGTGTTACCACGTCCTAAGACGAAATCCACATCCTCCAGGAGAGCACAACCTCTAGACGCATAAATCATCTCCACAGCCCAGGACTACACATCATCATCTGCCGTCAGCGGACATCGCGCAAGTCACCAGGAACGTGAGATCGATGCCCGTGCTGCCATGCCAAATCGAGATCATGTGGCCAGAGGTTGTCCGGCCCATGCGCCTCGGGAAGCTTAGCAGCACGCTGCCTACGCCAGACCACTTGGCTTGAAGCCTCGGTAGGGATCGTCACACGCAAGCAGGCGTGGGTCTTGACAGGAGAGTCGGGGATCGCCTGCACTCGAACATACAGGACAATCTCCGTCGAGGACACCACATACTCGATCATGGTGCATCCCGAGGTACAGTTAAACTCAACGTCAGACTGTACGACAGGCCTCGATCGAGTCGAGTCTAGGAAACCGCATTCTTCCAATCAGCCAGGGTGCATGTTGAAGCCTCTGCGGAGGACCCAGGGCACAGACACGCTGCCCACAACATCAGAAATCTGCTTGCGACGCATAAGGTTCGCGCCCACGTCTTCCAGAGAGCACGCCAGGTTTACGACTCCCACGGCCATGGAATAACTGTGCAATCTCTGATCCAGGAAAACCAGCAGGTGCTAGATCCCAACTGGACGGCTCGGGAGTCATCTCCGAGAAACTTTCGGAATTGCAACCACGCCGAGACCAACGAGCGACGCACCCCCATGAGATCCACCTCTCGGAGAGGCCGCCGCTTCTTGACATGACGGGTTTCAGCCCGTCGCGCGAACATCTTTCTGGGCCTTCGCCACCTTCTCCCCGCCAAGGTGGTGCACCGCGACAAACGCTGCATTCGCCTCGGAGAGACGAGCGGCCAGAAACGCCCCAGTGATCTGTCCAGCTCGTTATATTCGCGAACAGGAGCACTAGATTGGACGAGCGCTTCCACCCTCACTCTCGCTGAAGACTCTGCGTCCGGCTGGCTCCACCAGCAGGTGCTTCAGAGGTGGTCTTGAGCTGGGCGTCCGCTGCCCGACAGAGAACAACAACCTCATGCGCACTCTGATGCTGTGCGACGCGCCGAGCCTTCTTGATGGCACGCTGCACAGCCCTCTTGCTGATGAGCTCCCCGTAGCGCTGAGAGGCAGGTGCGTCGAGCCCGCCTTCTGCATCGCGTTTGCGTAACTCCTTGAGCTCTCCAAGCTCCTGCTCTGGAAGGTAGGCATCGCCAGCATCGCTGCCAGCATCAGACAAATCCATCTCAGACCCAGCCCGCCGCGCCATCGCATCCTTGCGTATCTCCTGCCATTGGGCCGACTTTCGCGCGGACTTGTCCAGGCCTGCCTCCTCAACCTCGTGAAGGTGCCCCCGGACCCACTGCCAGTCGACTCTTCCAAGCTCGGTGAAGCCTGGCTCAACGGGGCCCTGCTGGGGCTGGCGGGGCTTGGGCAGCGCCGCCGCCTGCGCCGGGCGCAGCGGCAGCTGCTGGGGGAGGTCCGTCTGCGGCGCGCCAGCGCTGCGGGGGGCGCAGACCCCCCGCCTTCGGCACCTCCGACCCCTGGCTGCCCACTCTCGCGGCCAGCCCCACGGGCCCCTTGAGTCCCCCGCCTCGCGAGCACGCTGAGCCTCGAGCTGTGCCTCCGCTTCCTCCGCACGGACGGCGCCACGGAACTCGGCCAGCACGGAGCCACTCCCCGCATCCGCGGCCTCCGTGACCTCGGTCGTGCCCAGCGTGAGCCACTCCGCGGCCTCGCCACGGGCTCGCTCGGCGCGCTCGGCCGCCCAGCGGCACCTGCGCGGCGGCGCCGAGCGGTTCTCGGCCTCCGCCCGGGCGGCGCGCTCCTCCTCGGTTGCCGTCTCGACCGCCCTCGCCGAGGCGGTGCGGTGAGCAGCCGCCTCCGTGTCCAGCTCGGATGCCGTCGCGGGCCGGCCGTCGCGGGCACGGCGCCCGCCGCGGCGGTCTCGAGCACCCCGGCCAGCGCGGGGCACTCGGTGGGCAAGGCTTGAGCCGGGCCTGTCCCTCTACAGGAGGAACATCCAGACAAAAGTCAAAAGATAGTCAGGGGACGATTTTTTGACTGTTCTTTTTCTCTCATCATTTTTCGCCTAAAATCCGCCTGTAGGGGGAAGTGCCCGACCTAATCATGGCCATCGCCACGATACTGAACACCGGACGTGCTGCACTTCCCATGTCCGTGCTTGTCCCACTCCCAGCGGCCGCACTCCGCGCGCAGCGGCTGCCACTGTCGACGCCGCTGAGGGGCGACGCTGGCCGCCTCTACCATCACCGTGCCACGAACGCTTCTTGTGCCAGCGCGCTTCGCGACGCCATGCCATGACGCGAGGTTGCTCCTGCAGGAGCTCACGGGGAACTCTGGGCCGAGCGCCAGCGCACAGTCTAGCGTCTGTTGCGACATGGCTACGGGACTGCTGCAGATCAGCGGTATCCCGGATACCGCTGATCTGTAGCGGATACCGTATCCGCTCTCTGCCATGGGCAAAATGCATCTTGAGCCAAAATGG